TATTGCACTCTATTCAGTATTAACAATTATACATTTAAATCTCACACAGCAGGCCAACATACATAGGATTTTAAGAAAGATTTTCTATGTAAGTCCACAGTGGGACCCAAAGTTTCCAGAATTTGTCCGTCTGGTGACGTAGATCGTAGGTCAGTTTTTCCAGGGGAAGCAGAGTTGCAGCTTGGGAAAGCCACTGCTCAATAGATGGTGAAGAGGGGCTGGCCCATCGAATTAGGATACATTTTTTTGCCAGAAATGAAAACATTAGAAACAAAAATTTGCCATCAGTATCAAAAATATGTTCTGCTCCTATTCCCAAAAGATACAGGGCAGGGGATTTCTGAAATTGTGTCTGAAGGATATTTTCTACCGTGATGTGTACTCTATCCCAGAAAATGGCAATTTTTTTACACTGCCAAAAGGCATGAAAAAACGTTCCTTTTTCAGTTTTACATTTAAAACACAAATTAGTTCTGTCTGGAAACATCTTCTGTAGGCGAACAGGTGTAAAGTATATCCTATTCATGAATTTAAAGTTAAGCTCGTGAACACCAGATGAGGTACACTTGGGAAACAGACCTTTACAAATATTGCACCAGTCCTCTTCTGAGATAGGTTGGTCTAAGTCCCTTTCCCAAATTCCCCTCAGAGTGTCTGACGATGGTTTAACACTCTTTAGCAAAATGCCGTGAATTAGTGAAATCAATCCTCTAGTCTGGTCCTTCTTAGCTAGCAACACTTCAAGATCGGTTAATTCCTTTCTAAATCTCCCATCCTTAATGGCTGAGGTGATCAGGTGACGAATCTGAAGATATTTGAAAAAATCTGACCTAGGTAACTCATATTCTTCTTGCAATTGTGTAAACGATTTGAGCAAACTACCAGAAAACATATAAGAAATGTTTTTGATCCCTCTGTTAAGCCAAGCTGAGAGTCCAGAGTTACTCAGCTGAGAAGGTAAATCTGGGTTGTGGGCCAGAGGGGACAGTAGTGAAAGACAATGAGGAATCTTAAGATATTTCTTAACATCTGTCCAGGCCATAAGGGTATTGTGTAAAATAAAATTCTCAGAGACACACCTCACCTTTGCAGCATCATTAATAAACGGTAAGCAATCAAGAGGAATAGGGCTACATGCCCCTGTTTCCATAGAGACCCAGTGAGAATCCAACCTATTTGTACACCAGCTGATCATATGCTTTATTTGAGATGACCAATAATACAACTGCATATTAGGCACACAAGCACCACCTTCCTCCTTCGCTCTTATTAATCTAGAAAATTTAAGTCTTGGCCTTTTATTATTCCATATAAATTTTGAGAAACTTTTCTCTAGATCCTTGAAGAAAATTGTGGATAAATGGCAAGGGATTGACTGAAATAAATAGAGTAAGCGAGGGAGGATATTCATTCTTATTATGTTTACCCTGCCAAATAAAGAAATAGGGAGAAAGTTCCATAATGTAAGATCATGTTTTATATTATTAATAAGTGGAAGGTAATTTTTGTCAATAAGGTTATTAAGGTCTGGGGTGATATGAACACCCAAATATTTAAAACCCTCTAACGCTAATTGAAAGGGGGATGCAACTACCCAAGGTGTGTTAAGGGATATATTTAAAGGTAAAGCTAATGATTTTGAAAAATTGATCTTATAACCAGAAAATTTACTGTATTCTGAAATACACTTCATTATAGATGGAATAGATTTTTCTGGGTGGGCCATATACAACAAAATGTCATCCGCATACAGTGAGATTCGATGGTCTGCTCCTCCTGCTCTAATACCTGAAATGTCCTGGTAACATCTAATTGTTTCTGCCAGTGGCTCAATCACCATGGAAAAAAGCAATGCAGAGAGAGGGCAGCCTTGTCTTGTTCCTCGACTTATCTGAAACTTTTCAGAGAGCAACCCATTTGTATTGACTGTAGCGTACGGATCGGCATATAGCAGTTTAACTAAATGAATAAAAGTAGGACCTAAATTAAATTTTTTAAGGACAGCGAACAAGAATGGCCATTCGATCCTATCAAAAGCTTTCTCTGCGTCGAGAGAAACAATAAAGGCGGGATCATTACTTTTTCTAATAAAGTCAATAATATTCAACAGTCTACGTATATTATCAGAACCATATCGCATCCTTATAAATCCAGTTTGATCTGGGTTAATGAGTTTAGGTAAGATCACCTCTAATCGTCGTGCCAGAGCTTTAGCAAAGATTTTACAATCTGCATTTATTAAGCTGATTGGTCTGTAAGCGCAGTCTTCTGGGTCTTTGTCTTTCTTAAGTATTAAGCTTATTGAGGCGGTTTTCCAGGTTTCAGGCATGGTAGTTTGGGTACACAGATCCATGATAACTGGCATCAATATAGGTTGAAGTTCAGGCCAAAATGTTCTATAAAATTCAGCAGGGTAACCATCCAGTCCCGGTGTTTTCCGTGAAGGCATTGACTGGACGGCACCAAAAATTTCTTCGGGGGAGAAAGGGGCATTAAGACTGCATCTGTCATTGTCTGAGACCACCGGAAGTGGTATATTATCTAAATATGCAGTAATATCAGATTCTAAAACTTTATTTTGAGATTTATATAAGGATTCATAGTAAGTTTTAAAGGTTGTATTGATCAACTTTGGATCATATGTATGCGAACCCGTCAATGTCCTCACAGATTTTATTAATCGCTCTGAATGTTCTTTTTTAATCTGATAAGCCAATAACCTACTAGGTTTGTTCCCATATTCATAATACTTTTGTTTAGAAAGGAATAGTAATTTGTTAATATGACTTGTATATTCTAGATTAAGTTTAGCTCTGGCACTACATAAAAGCGTTAGATTTGTTAGGATTTGATTTGTGCAACTGCTCATGATATGCTACTTCTTTTTCTAAATACATCCGATTTTGTATTTTCATTTTTTGACATGATGAGGTGTAAGATATAATATGCCCACGGATTGTGGCCTTCAAAGCTTCCCATCGCATAAATGGTGAGACATTACAGTCCTTGTTAAATTCCCAATATTCTTTGATCCAGTAACGCACTAGGTCACAGAATGCAGAATCCGATAGAAGGGAACAGTTAAATCTCCAGAGTCTGCTTTTACATACAGGAGTGCCAAAATTAACATGTACACTAACTGGGGCATGATCTGATAAGACAATTGAACCAATCTGGCAGGACTGGACTGTGTGGACAAAACTACTTGGGATAAAGATATAGTCGATTCTGGAATAAGAAGCATGTGGGTTAGAATAAAAAGTGTAATTTCTAGTCGATGGGTTTAGTTCTCGCCAGATATCAACTAGATCAGTATTCTTACACATGTCTTTTAAAACTGATGAAGATCTAGAATTAGAAAATGTGCTGGGTGAAGATCTATCCATTACATGGTCCAATGTGCAGTTAAAGTCACCTGCCAAGAGTCCCATCCCTTTACAGTGTTGATTAAAAGATAATACTATGTCCAACATAAATTTGGGGGAATCCTCATTGGGGGCATAGACACTAAGTATGGTAACATGTTGACCCAACAGTATACCTGAAATTAAAACAAATCTTCCCTCAGGGTCATTAATTTGAGATTCACATATAAACGGTAGATGCTTACTAATTAAGATTGCAGTACCTCTTCTGTGTGGCATTGAGGAATAAGAGGAGAAGAAAACCTGCCCAACCCAATCTCTTTTTAATAATTATCTCATTTTTAATTGATTCATTTAACTTAATATGAAAGTGTAAAAGTAGTCTATGATGCTGTAACTACACAGCTAAAATCACATCACACAATGTAACTGACCGTTTCAGGATAGATTTTATACAAAGTTGGATCCAGTTTATTCATTTCCCACTTCTAGCCCATCCAGCATTTTCTACTGATATCAAGCTAAAACCAATACCTGGCATCATATCAGTGGCATCTCTAGATGAAGAGTATTTTTGGTTTGTGCAATAGACATTCAAATAATGACCTGTAGAAGTAGTCTTAATTTATACATACATACATACATACATCATCTAAACCGCTTATCCTTCTGGGTCGCGGTGGGGTGCTGGAGCCTATCCCAGCTGTCATTGGGCGAAAGGCGTCTTAATTTATAAGAAAAAAAAGCATTTAACTGAAATCTGTACATTTACTTTTATGAAGGACGTCGTGTTCAAGAAGCTATGCGCCGTGAAGATCCAGAAGGAAGTGAAATGCGTGCTCTTCAGCTGCACACAGTGCGCCGCAGAAGGTATTCTGTGCCTGCTCCTAACAGTTTGTGGCATATAGATGGCAACCATAAACTTATTCGGTAAGGATGTGCTTATATGAACACTGTTTTTAAATACATCATACAATTCATACAGTGTCAAATCATACAATTCTTTTTGCATGTATGGTTTTATTTATGCCAGGGCTGCCCCTATCTGTTCTTAGTGAGGCAACATAGACAGTTTAGTTCCATCACTTCTGGTTCTAATTCTCAGATACTCCTGAAGGTCTTGATTAAAAAATTCCCTTGTGTGGTAAATCACAAGGACTGGACCTGGGCAACCTTGGTTTATACTGAACATACAGTTGCACACAGAGTGTAGAGCATTAGAGACATCTACATTATGTATATGAAAATTAAATGTATCTTTCTCATGAGGAGGCATGTTCATTGTTAATCACTTTGTTATATTTAATTAGCAAATTCTTTCCATCATCTAAAACATTGATGGAAGTATATATGCTGTATTGTAAAAACATACAATGCATTCTTTAGTTTATTCAGTTTAATAAAATAGAATTAGGAATTCATGTGTATTTATAGTGTTTCAGATAACAAAGCAGTGTCTACTAGTAAGTAGTTTCATTTCTGTAATATGTTACGATTTTCAATTTCTTAAATTACAGATGGCGAATAGTAGTTCATGGTGGCATTGACGGCTTTAGTCGTCTAATTGTGTACCTTAATGCTGCCACCAACAACCGGGCCTCAACAGTCATGGGCAGCTTCCTTGAAGCCGTCAATACCTATGGAGTGCCTTCATGTGTCAGGTCTGACAAAGGAGGAGAAAATGTTCAGGTTGCACATTTCATGGTGTCCAGTAGAGGCCTAAATAGGAATTCCCACATCACTGGAAGAAGCACACACGATCAGAGGTAATACCATTTTGTAAAGATTTTGTGTGTTCACATACATTTTCAAATTGACTTTGGTAGTGTCCAACTAAAAAGCTTTTTCTTTGGGTTTAGTCAACTAAATTTTTTCATGCTTTGTCACTCTACCTAGGATAGAAAGATTGTGGAGAGATGTCTTTGGGGGAGTTTTAGATCTCTTCTACACCATTTTCTGCAACCTGGAGAGAGAGGGCCTACTCAGCCCAGATGAAGAGATCCACATCTACGCACTGCACTGGACCTTTCTTCCACATATTCAGAGGCATTTGCAGTTCAAGGATGGCTGGAACCACCATAGATTGCGCACAGAGGAGAATCAGTCACCACTTCAACTATGGATGCAGAACCAACTTGAGGGGCATCAAGACCCTCCCCAGGTATGTTTGAAACAAGGCTAGAAGTAAACCTCTATCTATAGATAGCCAAACAATTTTGTACAAGGAATTTAGGATTAATACTAATGGTGGCCAGCATTTTTTCATGTATTAAGTAGTTCATCAAATAACAATTATGTACTTTAACACATTCTTACATTATTAGTGATATGTTCAATGACTAGTTACAGTTGAATTGCACATGTACCAAAACATGCTTGTTCTTTCTGTGCTTCCTTTTTTGGTCTTCCTTAAATATACGCTTTGAAAAAAGGCAAATAATGTGCTGTTCAAATTTTAATGTTAAATATAATTCTAGGTTGATACTGAGTATGGTATTGACTGCGAAGGTCCACATGGATACCACCACGAAGGAGTCACAGTTCCTGAGGTTCAGCTTCCCCGGCCACTATCTGAAGTGGAAGTGCAGAGACTGCCAAATCCACGAGGTTCTTTTTCCAATGTATTAAATCTGTACAGTGAGACAGTTGCATGTTAACAGATATACTTTCAGATGTTTAAAGGGCAGACATCTGCTGACATTTTTGGATGTTATTCTAATATTATTTGATATCCATAGCACACAACCTTGTGAGATGGTAATTATTAAGCAGAGCAAGCACTAAAAACATGTGAGCACTGTCTTTTCTCCGAGTTTGCTGTGATGCCTGTATAGCAAATATGTGCAAGCATCCTATCGTTATGATGTTATCATTTTGTTTACCTAGAATTGTAGCATACCCTGTTGAAGGATCAGAATTGTTGAGGTCACTGCCTTTGCAATTAATAACCATTCATTAATTCTTATTTAGCTTGTGCTTCCACTAACTGGCGACTTTACAATAAATACTTACCTTGTTCATCCACTCACTGACCACTTTATTAGAAACACCTATGTTGTACTTCCACTAACTGGTCACTTTATTAGAAACAACAGCTTAGCCACCATTCATCATTGGTCAGTTACTAATCATTGTTGATCTGATGTTTTTGAGTGGTGGACCATGGTACAGCAACAATGCTGGAGCCAAGAGCATTGTCACATCCAAATATATCCAGGCAACAGCAAACTCAGGAAACGACCAGTGAGTAAGCTAGAAATTATTAACACAGATGTGCATGATATATATGTGGTGCAATTTTTTAACTATACCAGCAGGAAATTTCTTATACATTTTTCAAATAAAGTGGCTAGTGAGTGTATGTACCCCTGCTATTCACAAAAAGCACACATGCTGGCCAAAGGTTTGTGCTATAATTCTAAGTTTAAAATTTTGGTCCAAAGCTACATTTTGTATGCAACAAATACCTTTTTTTAAATTTCATCAAATGAGTAAGGTAGTCTCATCATGTGTGATGGGGGCATAAAACTGGGTATGATATAAAACTCCATTTAGGAGTCCAACATAGTTGGCCGATTCCTCTGCTCAAACACACCCCATTCAACTCCGCAGTAATTCCCAGAGTTAGTTGTTGGGTCAGAGCAGAGAAATCAACAAACTGCGCTGGACTCCAGCCCTCAGTTCGCTAACCCAATTCAGTGTAACAACACTTCCTTACTATTGTGGTGTTTTCTCCTCTCAGGGTACACATATGTAGTGTTATTGGTTGGTTTTCTGCAATCATAACTTCGTTGACACCTACTGTTACTCCAGGCTTTGACAATTAGGTAGTTTATGTTTATGTATGTTATTACTTTAATAAAATTAAATGTTTAAAAACACTTTTTTGTAAATTAAACTTTTTTATTGAACATTGTTCTAATTGAACAGTTAACAGTAATGCATGTATGAAATCTCACCAATTTTATTAAACAAAAAATGCAAATAAAGCTTTGCAACAAAAAGTGTTAATGTTGTCTTTGGCTCAAATCTGACCGAATCCAGAGTAGGAGGAGGAGATGCTTGCCATCAGGTCTCAGAGGAAATCTTCATAATTTGCAGTATTTTTCGAAAGCTTTAGAGTTAAAAAGCATGTTGATGATTGGGGAAGGTCACAATCAACAACTTCCACCTCCAGTGATGGGGGAAGGACATCCTAGCCAGTCCAGAATGACAGCAAACTCTTCAAGACCTCAGAGGACCCTGAAAAAGACCCTCCCCAAAACAGTATCAGCAACTGTTGTCATATTCTATCATATATAAATCTTAAAAATTAAGTTATTATAACATCAAATGTGGCAAAATACCGGTTTCTATAAACATCCGGAAAAAGCCTAGCACACGTGCACTGGTCCTCCAGCGTAAGGATGTCTTCGTCAACATCTTCCTCCCGTGGCCAGATATTCTTGTCCAGAATCATCTAAGAATAAGCATTCTTAGTTCTTAGAGGCAGTAGCTTTACTGCTTTTTTAAGGCTGAACTTCATCATAGATGGGCAACTCTGCTGTTATTTGTTTGACTTACTTGAGATGTTATCTCTGTCTCAGTGACCCTTGGGAATAAGATTGGCACAGTGTCTGGTCTAGAGCTAAAAAGCTCCAAAACACCAGTGTCTTTCAGGCCTCTCTTAATTTGCTTCACTTGCTTGGTAGTTCTTCCAAGAACCTGTAAATGTTTTACAAAATGTTTGACAAGTTTCTGAAACTTCAGAAAGTAATATGCATAGGCTAAACAAAACAAAACTGCCATTTCTTTAGGGTTGTTTGAAAAAGGGCTTTATACAGTATTGTAAGTGTAAAATCCAATGACATCAGAAAACACAGTATTTGTTTTGTATCAACAGGAAGAAAATAAATAAAAATATTTTAAAACTTGTGAAACTCATTGACTACATGTCCAGCATTTCTTTTAAATCATCATTATTAGAGAGTACTCTTGGTGGAAATCAAAGCTTTGAACAAGGTTGTGCATGTTCAGAATTCTTTCCCAGCAGGGGTGTCTAGAGCTGCATCATGTCACACTTGCAGTCTTTACAGCATAAATATACATCTGGGTTATAAATAATGTCTTGCTTTTATTTCATGTCCTTTCATTGTTTCAAGAACACCATTAAACATTTTAACATTCGTTATTGCATATTTTATTTTATGCAAACTAACATATACCCAAATGTCATTTTCTATCTCGGAGGAAGATGTTAACTTTCCTGCAAAATAACTCTCAAATCCAGAGGCAGAGTCAGGCTAAACTTCACAAGTATTAAACTTAAAGAATAAAATAAAATCTTACGGCATGGAGAAGAATTTTCTCCCTAAGCCACCACCTGTTTTCTAATGTAACACCAGGCAAGTCCCAGGGCAGGCTCACAGAGAGGACCATGGATTTCTGGTCCTCAGAAAGTTCCTGGGTTCCTTCCAACTGATTAAAGACATCAGAGAGTTCAATGAAAACAGAGTTTGCAAATAGGTTCAAATGCAAACAAATTTACAAGCTCAAAACACACTCAAAACAGACATTACAAATAATGTGTCTTTTGAATAAAATAAACATTTAAAAATGGCTTTGGTAAATAAACCATTAATAAATTAATAAATAAACCATAAATATTTTTTCCCAAACCAGGTGGATGACATCCCGAACATCCTGGTCCACGCAGTCAGATACGCTAATTGCTGCTGTCTCTTGCTCCCCTCCAGAGAGTACATGCACTATGGCAGGGCTCAACCCAGCAAGACGTGGTCCATCATTTAAAAAACAGTGCCCAATTATGCGTCCAGCTATGACAAAAAAATCACTTTCCAAAAGTGCCCGAGATGTGGAAGGAACAAGATGGTCTTGCTCGCCCTCAAAGAGCAAAGTCTTTACTCCTAAGAAGAAACACAATTCATTTTGATTGACGGGTGTCCATTTTAAAGGGACAAAAATGTGTTTTAAAAGGCTGCAAGGCTACTAAAATCAGTAGATATACCTGTCTCTTCCTCAAGAAGGAAGCCATTCTGAAGATTTTCCATTACTGTAGACAGCACATACCTGCTGACTCCCTCACCGATTGCTGTGTCACCTTTCAAATTAAAAAACACAAAGTCAGGCAATGCAGTGAAGCAAACTTAGTCCCTGCTTACCATTGCTGAGATAACTTCAAGAATCAAGCAAATCAAAGTTTCATATTTGAGAATACAGAGAATGTACCTAGTATGTATCTAATAAATTGCCTCCTCTGAGTAAGCATTACATTCTAAAGGCCAGCAGACGAGGTATGTGATCAAGTTCCTCTGGAGACGATACAAATTTCGCTTTGATGCTACGTCTCCAATATTGCTTTGTATTGGTATTTGTGAATGTTTGACAATAACTCTGTAATTGGGGTCTCTGAGATTTTACAAATATGAACTTTTTAAAGTCTATTATTAATATCTCCTCATTTTTCTTATAAATGTAGCTTGCCATAATGAACGATTGAAAGTCTAAAGAAAAAAGAAGCAAGCCAGCAACTGGAGGATAACTATAGCCCCAGTGTGACAAAATAAATCAGGTGACGTAATTTTATAAATAAGAAACAGGCTAAATGATGATTTACCAAAGATGATGTATCAATAAATGATTTACCAAAAATCATTGTTCGTCCCACAAGGTCATATGTCAATCACCCATCATATGCACATTCTTAGGTGGTACTTAATAGGTATATTATGCGTCATTCTCAGTATGTTTTATAACTGTGTTATTTAATAAATAATTAGGATCATTACCAGTCAATTTGCACTGCAGTGGATTAGACCACTGCACTGGCCTTTTGTAAAAAGTAATGATAGCCCTGTTTCTTTCCACCAAGGAATCCCTCAAGCTCAGGGTGAAGTTCAGGTTGTCTGTGTCTTTATTAGCCTCAAGTGTTGACTGGGTGAACAGCTGAACTGCCTTGGCTGGATCTGGTTCTGTAATCCAAGCTTAACAGAAAAACAGAGTCAGATTTAATATACACATCAAAAAAATATGAAATGCAAAAAATATACATAAAAAATTCTGTTGCTTGAGATGTTCAAATTGATTCTGTCCAGTAAGGTTTAACATTTTAAAAAGCAATTTCTTATGGACTTTCCAGTATCACCTGAGAGATAAAGTATACTGTTGGGCATGTGCTTACCATCATCACTGAAGTGCCAGATGAGTTTGCTGTACAGACAGACATAAAATATCAGGTAGTAGAATTAAAAATCTACATCTGTACATCACCAGGTGAGGGGTCTGACTCCCTGGTACATTTATCCTAATGGGCAACTAAAATTTAAAGTGCCACAGAAATTCAGAAAAATATTCAGAAAATATTCAGAAACCTTAAATTCTGTCAACTCTTGACTTGTCCCTTAATCTGTAACACACTGAGTACAAACCCCCAACTGAACCTGTCTCCAGACTCTCCTCCATTACCAAATCTACAGCGGAGTGCTGAGAGAAAAGTTGAGTCCCAGTGGTGCCAGATGCAGTACCCAAAACAGTCCCGGTGGTGCCAGATGCAGTACCCAAAACAGTCCCGGTGGTGCCAGATGCAGTACCCAAAACAGTCCCGGTGGTGCCAGATGCAGTACCTGATACAGTGCCAGAAGAATATGTTGTTAACATGACAATTATTTAGAAAGCTCACTGGGTTTATTTTCATCCAGGATAGAAAAAGTACTAAAGACAATGCAATTAATTTTTCTTTAACACATATGTTTATGCTCTCGACCCACGCTCTTGCACGTGGACGCGTATAGTGCCAAGCACTTTTAGTTGACAAGAGCATCATGCAAACAAGCGTGAACATGCGGCTGGAACAGGAACACAATGCATTCATTTACGTTTTCAACAACTGAAAACGTTGCAGCATAGTCAAGACTGATCGATCACCAAACAGCAAAGAGCAGTATTACCTGAATGGCCTTTACCATAAGACATTCCTGCTAAAGAATCCAGCCAAGACCAGCTTTGCTAGTAGCTGTTTTCAGACAAAGAGCCTGGCAAGCCACAAACATTGTCATGGTCGGCATGGCAAGCTTGATGAGCTTGGTCATGCTAACATATCCTATTTTGGGGCGCGTTTCTTGAAAGTGTCGTTGAACAACCACCATAGCTAAATGACAGATTATCATTAACACACTCTCTTCCCACGGTTACCATGGCGTATGCTTAACAACGCTTTTGGGAGATGCAGTAGCTACTGGTCAAAAGGCTAAGCTGGAGGTTAACGTTTATCAGCTAATGTTAAATCAGCTTGAGTTGGCCGTGCCAAGCAGTTTTTTAAGCATATACGATCTCACTCTCTAAACAATCTATGCATCTTAACGGTTAACTTCTTGGAACAGCGGGAAACATTACTACAGCAATGGAAAAAAGGCCATTGACAAATATATGGGCTAGCATTACGCTGATTCACGTAAGCTTTGTATTTGTAATTCGTGTTTAAGACATTGGTCTGAAGGTATAGTGGCTGATAATAAAACTACGAAAACATGAAAGTATAGTCAGAGACCAAAATAACCCTTAATATATATAAATATATATTTTTACATCATAGCTCAAAATACATACATTGCTCCATTTCATCCAGGCGAGCAGCTTCCCCTCTGAGCAGCTCAGAGATCAACCTTTGCCCCGATATTTTGTCTTCATCACTCTTCAACTTTAATCAACTCTTCAATACCTGATCTTGATGGCTAAGCCTGAACGTGAAAAACACGCCCCTTCATTATCATATGAACAAAGAAATACAGAAATAAATGAACGAATTAATGAAAAAAATAATTAATTACTCAATAAAGTAAACAATTGTTAAAAATATAGATACAGAAAAATATAAAAATGAACATAAACATTAAGAAAAATAACTAATTGACAAATTAAATGAGAAATATATATCAGCAAAAAAAGGAATTGTGTATAATTACAATCAAAATGAGCAATATATACATAATTCAGTTTTTTTATTTGTGGATTAATTTACTGAGTCTTTTTTTATTTTATTTATTTTTCATTTTGGCAGACCGAGTCCTTCATACCTGCGTTGTCATTGTGACGCCTTCGATTGCGGTGGAAAGACATTCCAACTGAATTTAAACCAAATTAAAGACGTCACCACGACAAACACGAAAAAAGAGCGGAAGTAAAGGCGCCTGCCGGTATCCGCCACATGCAAGCGCCTTTTTTTGTCATTGTGACGCGTTCGATTGCACTAGAAAGACGTTCCCAACGTGAATTTAAGTCAAATTAAAAGACGTCACCACGACAAACACGAAAAAAGGAGCGGATTTAAAGGCGCCTGCCGGTATCCGCCACATGCAAGCGCCTTTATTGTCATTGTGACGCCTTCGATTGCACTAGAAAGACGTTCCAACTGAATTTAAGCCAAATTAAAGACGTCACCAC